ATAGATAGATAGATAGATAGATAGATAGATAGATAGATAGATAGATAAATGGTTTTCTGAAACAGGGTCTTTCTATGTTTCTATGTAGCCCTACCTGTCCTGGAACTTGCTATGTAGACCAGACTGGCTGCCTCTGCCCCCCCACAAGTGCTTGCATTAAAGGCGTGTGCCACCAAGTCCAGTTTATTTTTGAGAATTTCATACGAGTGCTGTATTTACGTTTCCTCCATCCCTCTGCTCCCTCCAACCCCTCCCGTGCACCCTCTTTCAAATTCATGAAGAAGCTTCTGTTTGAAGCACAGACGGTTGCAGAAATACACAAATGGCCGAAATACCCAGAACACTGGCCATAGGGTACCCAGCACCAACTGGTACTTCACCACCACAACCCCTACACCGAAGACTCGGGAGACAGCATGGAAGAAGGGGTGGAGAGACTGTAAAACCAGAGGACCGAGGCATCTGCTGCAAGACAGTCTCCAGTATATGACAGGAAGCTGTACCCACAAAATCCCAACAATATGGCCACCTAGACAAACCCCGAAAATCTTCGACAACTGGCCTGCTGATGTGGATGGTGGAAACCGAGGCCCCAACCTTAGATGAAGAACTAGAAGCAATGAGTGGCTGCTCAGAGAAGAATAATCAATCTGCTCCAGGGATGAGGCCCCCAGTAGGAGATCCAACCCAAACAACCAGCACTAAACACATACAGCCTTAAATAAACCCTGCAGGCCGTGTGTGTGTGTGTGTGTGTGTGTGTGTGTGTGTACAAAAATTCAAAAACAAGAGGCCATGCTTTTGGGCTCTTTAAACTTCCTATTGAGTAAGTTAAGTTGCATACGTGTTCAGTGTAAGGAATGTTTAAGTTGAAAATACTGTAGCAACTTTTCAGAGTTTTGCATCAGTTAAACATTTGACTAGATTTGTGGAGATATGTGAACAATGCGGTGGCATTATAGTTAGTAAAAGGGCAGTTCTGGGGGAGGAGCCTAAGGGAAGAGGTGCAGCTGAAATAAAGGGAGAGCTGAGTGATCCTGGAGATAAAAGGACTCTGTGTGTGGGTGTAGGGGTCTGTGGGTGTGTTTTCAGAATTTTGCGCATAGACAATAATATACCTATAACCTACTCATATAACAATGATATCTTTACATAACCAGATCACTGGCCACCTGGGGGCCCTCTTGAATGATGTAACCCTCTAAAACAAGAGCAACACAAACAAAGAATCAGCCTGGAGAACCCACTCACACTCAGAGAGGACCTGCTTAAGGAGCTCCCTGGGGCCTTCCTTCATCCTCTATGGTCTAAAGATGCCTCAGAGTCCCTCTGGCCATTATTTGTAGGGTGGAATTTTGAAAAACTATGCTTCCCCTTGGACATAAAGGCTATGGAGATGGATCCTTACTCAGAAGTCTCTTGGGGGCTAGAGAGACACTTAGCTGTTAAAAAGGTAAAGTTCACAGCCAAAGATGAAGAGCTCAGTTCCCAGAAGTCCCTAGCTGGAATCTCCTAGGACTGAGTCAAGGGAAGCCCACAGAAGCCTAGTCAAGCCTGTGGCCTTTGTGTGACAGCGGAAAGGATGCTCTCCACGCATCCTCCTCTAAGCGCATCTGGTTTAGGTCTTGGGATCCAGGTAAGGATAAATCTTCTCATTCACATCCATCTTCTCCTCAAACTGCCTGCTCGGGGAACCCGGAAGGGTGAAAGTCGTGAGCAGAGAGAGATCAGATCCTCATTTGTGAACCCCCTAGCTATCCTTGGAGAAGAAGAGAAGTGACCTCCTTACCTTCCTTTGGTCTCAACTAAACTTTGAAACTGTCTATTCTACCAAGTACCCTTTATCTCTCCTCCTCTGGGGGAGATGATATCTGTAATGTTCAGGAGCTGAGTGGTCTCCGGTTAGTGTGGCTTCATCCGTATCAAGTTCGGAGATGCTGGGGTCTCTGTGCATGCTTGTGCGAAGTGAAAGCCGAGGGCGTTGTAGATTCACAGGACCCTGAAACGGGAAGGCTTTGGGAAGGCTGACGTTTACAGTCTTCACCTCCAGTGTAAGGGCGCCCTCCATCTACCTTCCCTGAAACTGTGTGCCACGCCTTCTTGGGGCAGCCTACAGGGGGACATGGGATTTCTATTCAGTCGTAAACGCACCCCCGAAAAAGATCGCTTCATCATTCTTAGAATGTCTGAGATGGGATGAACGTGGAAGCCATCTAGTTTTCCAGATGTTTTTACGCTTCTTGGGGATGGTGCATGTGCGTGCCTGGGATCAGCCTTGGTGGCGAGCGCCTTTACTTGACAGCCCAGCTGACCTATCAGACACCGGTATGGTCAGCATCCGGATGGCCAGCCAAAAATGTTTCCTGTGCCAGTCAGTCCGCCAGGAGGCTGAGCTTGGCTCCCTTTGCATGCGGAGCCTTCTCCTGTATCCTAATCCTGCTTCTCCCTCCCTGCCTGTACAGGTCTCTTCCTCTACCTGCCTCCCATCCGCCTTCTCCACTATGGCTACGAGGCCACTGCCCTGAGCTTGAAAGTATTGCGAATCCTACATAGAAGGAATGCCACTGTAGCCAACCCCTCCTGCGTCAACCGGAAGCTGACTTCGTCGTTCTGGGGGCGCACGGCACAGCTGAACCTTCTCTTCAGTTCCCGTCCCTCAGCTTGAACGCTCCATGGAAGTCAGGAATGTCACTGAGTTTGTGCTGCTGGGACTCAGCAGCAACCCTCGGGCCCGGGTGCTGCTCTTTGTGCTGTTCTTGATGATTTACGTCTTGACCCTCTTGGGGAACCTGCTGATGCTGGCAGTGATCAGCTCTGACGCCCACCTTCGCGCCCCCATGTACTTCTTCCTGAGACACCTCTCCTTCATGGATGCCTTCTATTCCTCGGTCATTGTGCCCAGGTTGCTGAGGAGCCTTATTTCTGAGTGGAAGACTATATCCTCCCTTGGGTGTCTCATTCAGATCGCCCTGGTCATATTTTCTGGGGCCACTGAAGCCTGCCTCCTTTCTGCCATGGCCTACGACCGGTTCCAGGCTGTGTGCCATCCGCTGCTGTATGGGGTCACTATGAGTGGAAAAGTGTGTTCTGGGATGGTGGCTCTGTCCTGGGCCATGGGAATGAGCGTCAGCCTGACCAACACCCTCCTGCTGGCTCAGGAGCACTTCTGTGGACCAAACCTCATCCGCAGCTTTGCCTGTGAGCTTCCTCCCGTGCTCTCCTTGGTCTGCTCTGACCCCCGCGCTACTGTCGCCTCCATCCTCACCACCTTGGTGGTCTTGGGTCTCGGGACTCTTGTCCTCCTGCTGGGATCCTACAGCCGCATCATCACAGCAGCCCTGAGGATCAACTCGGCCACAGGTCGGACCAAGATCTTCTCCACATGCTCTTCTCATTTCCTTGTAGTCACCATCTTTTATGGCTCAGGAGTATTCAGGTGTGTCACACAGCCATAAATGCTGTGTATTCTTCTCCTAACTGTTCTTGATCTACAGAGCAGAGCATTGCAATAGAGCAGGAGAGACTCATCCTGAAATTCCACCCTGGAATTCCCAAAGCTTGAGCTCCAGTCCAGGTCTGCTATAGACTAGCTGTGTGGTTTTCAAAAGGAGGGGGTGGGGGATAGAAGGAAGGAGGGAGGGAGAAGTGGGAGGGGAGAGAGAGAAGAGAAGAAAGGAGGAAAGGAGAGAGGGAGAGAAAGAAGGAGGTAGGAAGGGAGAGAGACGGGGGAGTAAATGAGGGAAAGAAGGAAGAAAGGAGGGAGAGAGGGAGAGGGGAGAAAGGAGAGAGGGGGAGGGAGAGAGACCCTATAAGCCAGGCATAGGGGCACACGCCTGTAATTCTCAACACCAGGAGGATCAGAAGTTCCAAGCCAGCCTTCATGGCACAGTGAGACCCTTTCTCCAAAAGACAAAGAAAAGAAAGGAGTCCGTTTCTTTCCAAGGCTCAATTGTCTCTTAAAAAAAAAAAAAAAAAAAAAAAAGAGTAAATGTTGTTGTGCTCTATCAACCTACGATTCGAGGGCTCAGAAGAAAATCGGAAATCTTTGATAGATTTTTACATAGTGCTAGACAGAGAAAAGGAACACGGCATCCTTGAAGGAGATGCCACCTCTCCTTCCTCCTAGAAGCTGATGTCACCGAAGCGTGCTCACACTGTGGTTATTAGACGCCGAGTGTTCACTAGCTTCTCTGTGTGGTCAGGCCGGGTATTGGTGTATGATCTCACTCCCACAGTTAGACAGCCCCACTGTCAGGTGAACAGCCTAAGCTTGCAGAGTGGCCAGGTTTTTCATCAGAAACCCCAGAGCAAGGCGGCTGCGGCCCCAGCCGAGCACATTCCATGCTCTTGCCTAACCTTTCTCAAGCATAAGCGTCTCTAACCAGTGAGCTCTTCCCCATGAAGAGACAGAGTAAGTGATATCTGAGCTTCTGCTCCTGAGATGGGCAAGGGTTTGAACACACTGCCCAGGGTCTTTCCCCCATGCTGCGACTGGGAGAGAAATAACAGGGGAAAGGGGGTGCTAACGGTTTGGGATTGCTCTCCTGAGCCTGAGGATAAATGTCTCAGACACCATAGAGGGGCAAGAAGATTTCTCGTAGTTACTTCACAGGAATATTAGGAAAACAGATGATTAAAAATTAAGAGAAAAAATTATAGTTAGGTGAGTATCTTTTCCTTAAAGATTGTGTGTGCATGAATGTGTGTGTGTGTGTGTGTACATCTTATGTATGTGTACATGTTGCATGTGTGTGTGCGTGTGTGTGTGCGTGTGTGTGCATAGGTCATGTGCTGTCTGACACATGTGCTCTGAGCTGAACTGCGATTCTTCACTAAAGCAGCAGGGTTCTTAACCACTGAGCCACCCCCACCCCTCACCCCTGGATATCTTTTTAAATCAAATCCAGTGTCCATAGAAACAGTGTCGATATGTCACATTTGTCCCAGTGAAGACAATACCGTTGACAAAGTGATAATGTTTATTTGGGAAATAACCCTGGGAATACAAAAGATATGCCCAATAATTTAATATTATGGTTTTAAAGTCATATGTTTTGTTTAATCAGGTTTTATCTCTCACTTTATTTACCGACTTTGGCTCCTTTTCCAAGCCAAAGAAGAATGCAACTAAAAATTGTTCCATTAAGCATCATAAAAATAATATGCTAGAGCAGCTGGGGAGATGGCTTGGTGTTTAGACACGCTTGCTGCACTTGCTGGCTTCAGTTCCCAGCGCCCACATGGTGGCTGACAACCATACTCCCAGTCCCAGGGGACCGTGAAACCCCTTCTGACCTCAGTGGGTACCAGGCATTCACAGGGTGCACAGACACACACGCACATACGATAATTAACAATAGTCATCTGGGACTGATCCTCAGGGCCATGCGTGTGGGAAACAGCAGAGTTGTGGACTAGACAACACCGTCATCACTAAATGAGAACATGGTGTGTCTGAATTGTGAATATAGAGAAAGGGTAGCCTTATTGTCGTGGCTATCAGCCAGGATGCTCTGAAGAGCAGGAAGCGCTATGGAACTCCGTTAGTCCCGTCCTAACCTGAACGTCTTAGTACACAGAAGGTGTTCTTGTCCGAGACTCCTTTCTGTGCGTTCACTCTTGCTTGGAGGCAAGAGTGGCCGACTTCCTGGTGAGGTTAATGCTAACTGTGAGGGCGAGATTACATACTAATATCAACCTCATATAGAAGTCAGTGAACAGTTAGTGTTGGGAGAGCTCACCTGTTGCCATGGTGACGATCCGCTCGACTCCAAGGTACCCTGTGCCCTCAGCGGGAGTGGGAGGCACCATAGCCAGTGATCTGGTGATCCTCATCCTTAGTTTACTTTGGTCCTCTGTGTCACTCCTCCCAAGGTACATGACGCCAGCATCCGGCTCAGCCCTAGAGCAAGTGTTATCTCTGCAGTACAGTGTGGTGACCCCACTGCTGAACCCCCTCATCTACAGCCTGAAGAACAAGGAGGTGAAGGTGGCTCTGAGGAGGATGCTGACCCGCAAGTCCAGACGGACCCTGTAGCCAGACTGCCCTGCTGTAGAGGGACGATGCTGGAAGAAGAGATCTTCCTGCTCAGCCACCTCCGTGGTTCCACAACAGGGTACAGTTTCTCTTCCTCCACTGCCCTGCACCTCATCAAGGGACAGATATTAGGAAACCTCCAGAATAGAGCAGGTGACACCTGGCCCATCCACGAGATCCATTCCATACATTAGAAAGCCCCCAGGACTTCACTGGCCATTTATTAGAACCAATCTCGGCCTGTCAGAACACTGTCGAGGAGAGTGTCACGTTTGGGAAAGCAGCCTCTTGGCTGAGGAAGACTCAGCTCACCATTTGTTCCCATCACATACCACCACCACCCCCAAAAAAAATCCATTGCAACATCTAAATCTTCATAAGTGAAAAAGAAACGAAATGAGTGTGTCTCTGGAGTCCTGTCTTCACTCATAAAAGTGGTACCCAGAGAAGGGCTCACCAAATCCACAGCAATTACCTGTGAACAGTTTAAGGAGTGAGGGAAGAAGTGAGGAATCCGCCTGAAGATACCCTTCTCTTGCATGCTCCTAGGAGGCTGGGAGAGTGAGGCTCACCACCTAATTGTGTGTGTCCTGAGGGCAGAACTCCTAATAGCTTCTGGTCTACTATATACTGTTACTCAGTTACATTAGATAACAGACAGAAATTAAAGAAAGCTGGAGGAGGGCAAGGGAGGGGACATTTGAAAAGGAACACTGTCTTCACAGGAAATGTGTCAGAAAATATCCTAGAGGCCAGGGATGGTGGCTCAGGCCTGTAATCCCAGCACTCAGGGAGGCAGAGGCAGGCGGATCTCTGTGAGTTCGAGGCCAGCGTGGTCTACAAAGTCCAGGACAGCCAGGGCTACACAGAGAAACCCTGTCTCCAAAAGAAGAAGGAGGAGGAGGAAGAAAAGGAAGAGGAGACGGAGACAGAGAAGAAGAAGAAAAAAAAAAGAAAGAAAATATCCTAGAGGAGAGATGAAAGAGAGAAAAAGAGACTGCATGCTGTGGAACACTTTCCTGAGGCCTCACCGTGAGCTCAGAGAATGCTCTGTGACACATCTTTCTCCAAGCCTTCCTGCTTCTCCTGTCTGAACCTGAATGGCTTCAGGTCCTTATTCCAGACCTAGAGGAAAGGAGAGTTGGAGGAGCAGAGTGAATGTCCCGCTGCCATCCTCCTGGACATCCTGCTCACAGGAAGCCCTCCCAGACAGAGCCTCGGTTTCCTAGCCTGCTTCTTCACCTACCCCAAAGGTGTGCTTTTGTCAACAGTGCTGCCACCGGCGGATGAAGGGTGGGACACGGGCACAGGAAAGAACAGCACCCTCCTCATTCCGTGGCTATACTCACGCCCCCATGTGAGGTGACAGCATGTGGCTGTCACCCGTCACTTCATAGTGTACACGTCTGCCAGTGTCCGTCTTTCACCTGTACCATTCCATGTGGAAGAAGCAGGAGGAGAGGAAAGGAGGGGCTGGCGTGACCTCTGGCCGTCAGATGGGATAATCACGCTTGAATGAATCACAAAGTAGCATCTATTTTTACAAGACATCTCATAATTCTGCGAATCCCATATTAATTATTGACCAAGGGAAGTACATAGTAAGCTAGAGAGGCAAAGAACAGACTAAGGAACGCGAGTGCCTAAGGGCTGCGAATGCTGACCTCAAATGCCCTCAGCTGCCCCTCATACGGGAACATTATCAACTTGCTTTACTTAATGGGTTGTTTTTCCACGCAAAAACTGACCTGGGGGAAAGCACATTTTAAAAACTGGCCTAAAGTACTGATGTGTAATAGGATGTGCACGCTTCCGAATGCTAACCGGTAGCAATAAATGACTGGGTTTGTTTTCTTTAACTGCCTCCTTGCTGGCTCCCTGTTCTTTCTCCTCCAACCAGCCTGCTCAAAAAAATAAAATAAAATAAAATAAAATAAAATAAAATAAAATAAAATAAAATAAAATAAAATAAAATAAAATAAAAAATCTCTATTTGTGATTTACTGCTAGGGTGCTTCAGACTACAGAAGATGTGTTTGAAGACATGGTGCCCTGATGTCCAGGGTGAAGGCCAGTGCTGTAGTTTGGTGTGGAACGCCCCCTGTGGCGGTTTGAATGAGAACGGCCCCCTTCAGCTCTTATGTTTGAATACGTGGTTTGTTTCCGGTCGGTGGAACTGTGTGGTTAGGATTAAGAGGTGTGGCCTTGGCGAGGACGCATGTCACTGGGGGTGGACTTTGGGGCGTCACTCTCAATTCTCTCCTCCCTTCCTCCTGCTGTGGCTCAAGGCCTAAGCTCTCAGCTACTGCTCCAGCACCAAGCCTGCTGCTGCCATGCTTCCACCGTGATGGTCAGGAGCCCTAACCCTCGCTGGTTCTCAACCTGTGGGTCATGACCTCTTTGGGGTCACATATCGGATATCCTGCATACCAGATAGATACTTACATTACGATTCATAACAGTAGCAAAATTCCAGTTATGAAGTGGCAACCAAGCAATTTTATGGCTGGGGGTCGCCACAGCATGAGGAACTACGTTAAAGGGTCTCAGCAGCAGGAAGGTTGAGAGCCACTCACTGTTCCAGACTCTAGGCCCATGAACCCCAAATTAAATGCTTTTCTTCTGTAAGTTGCCTCGGTCATGATGTTTTTATCACCAAAATAGGAAAATAACTAAGATATCCCCAAAAGGCCCACACATAAACTTCTACCTTCCTCCACCCTGAGAGTCTAACACTATTGGAAGGGGCTGTGGACCTTTAAAAGGTGGGGCTTCCCGACAAAAGCCCACCACAGAGTGCAGAAGTGCACACAGAGACTCAGCTGTCTGCAACTGATGGCTGCTGGGAGAGAGACCTCCGTTCCCTTCCATGACACTGGGCGTGTCACCCACACTCCAGGGCAGACCTCACGCTGAGTAGTCGGGCAAATCAGACTCCATGGTTTTTCGTGTGTTTGGGGTTTTGTTTGTTTTGAGAGAACAAACATGACATTGAGGAGGTAGGGAGGTGGGGGAGGGTCTCGGAGGAGTTGAGGAATGAGTGAGCATGCGCTCGAAGCATATAGTACGAAATTCTCGAAGAATCAATAAAGATTCTTCTGTCTTCCTTGCCCAGTTCCTCGGTTGACCCCACGTGCAGTTCCACTGGCGAGCACTGCCACCCACCACCCTCACCAGAAGCCACACCAGCAGGAGCCTCAACTCTTGGACCTTGAATCTCCAAGGCTGGAGCTAACAGACTTGCCTTGAGAGCCCACCCAAGAATGCAAACAACTGTAAAAGAAAAACAGCTGTGACTATTCCCATCCTTGAATTGAAGCCAGAGGCAGATAGCTCTCAAAGGGCAGGATGAACTGCTCTGAGATAGTTTTTAAAAAAAAAAAAAAAAAAAAAAAAAAAATAAGGGCAGGGTGAATTGTTTTGAGAAACTGCCTTAGCAGTCATCAGCACGGCCTGACTGTCTGAAGCCCCGGAGGGTATTAGGGTAGTGGGATCATTTCCATTGTCAACTTGACTGGACTTAGAATTGCCATGGAACCGTGTCTCCGGGTGCCTAGGAGGGTGTTCCCGACGTGTGAAGAGGAAAGACCTTGGATGTGGGGTGGCACCAGCCCATGAATGGGGCCTCACACTGACTAAAAGGAGAAAGCAAATGGATTCCAGCACTCACCTGTCGTCTTCTGACTGCAGACACACCGTGGCCAGCTTTCCTTTGCGGCTCTGCCACCGTGCCTGCCCTGCCCTGCCCTGGCACGCACCCTCAAACTGAGAGCCAAAATAAACCTGATCCTGAGTGTTCTCTGGAAGGCTGACACATCTATTGGAGAAGCAACTGATCCAGTGGAGACCTTTGTAAGGTGGGAAGAGGACGAGATTTCATTCCCGGGCAGTTCAACAAGCAGTAACTCGGATTACAGTTTTGAAGTTTTGAAGCAGGAAATGATCTCAGAAAACCAGCTAACCCAAGCACTCTTAAGATGAGGCAGGCCATGCAGATGGACAAGCCAGTGGCACACACTCGGACCAGCAAAGAGCAGCAAGGACAAACGGCAAGAACCTGGATCTGATTTCTCTGCCGTATATCCTATAATCAGAATAAGGAAAGATCTGCAAGCAGCCAGCTTGACAGCAAGCAAGGTTCAGGACACACAGAAAGTCCAACTCAAAAGGCCCCGTGTGGATAAACTCTTAAGGATTAGTAAGTTTATAAAAACCCTGTACATATGTGATTTCCAGAGAAGAACTTCTGGTCACAGCTCCTCAGTCGTCTGTTGATTCATAACTGCTCTGTCCTTTACCACCCCACTTCCTGTCAAAATCCCACCCGTGATTCTGAACCCAGGTAAGTTCCACCCCCTTACCCTCTCAGTGTGGCTTCACACACCTATAATCCCAGCATTCTAGAGGATAATGGATCCAAGGTCAGGCCTGAGCTATACAGTGAGAAACTAAGAAAAAAAAATTCAGCACTTTCATATGCTGGGAATTGAGCCATAGGTAATGCGTGTGTTTGTGGGGGGGCTCATACGTGTGAGTGTGGGGTTCACATGTGTGTGTGTTTGTGTGGGGCTCACACGTGTGCATGTGAGTGTGGAAGCCAGGGGTTGACTGGGATTTCATTTCTCAGGAGCTGACTGCATTGTTTTTTGAGACAGTCTCTGAACTTTGTGCAACCTGGGACTCACAGATTAGGGTAAACTGACTGGCCATCAAATCCCAGGGATCCTCCTGTGTCCACCTCCTCAGAACTGAACCACAGGCACACATCACTATGTCCATCTTCTTCTGTAGGTGCTAAGGGTCAAACTCAGGTCCTCATACTTCCTTGGGGTAGCCCTTTACCTGCTGAGTTAACTCCCCTACCCCAGAACGCTTTCTTCATCTTGGTTTTGTTTTGTCCATTTCCCTTGAAGACAAACTATCTTTCCTCTTTGGAATATTCAATGCTGGAGCCGGGTGAAGTGGCACACACCTATAATCCCAGCACTCAGGGAAGCAGAGGCAGGTGGATTTCTGTGAGTTCGAAACTAGCCTGATCTACAAAGCGAGTCCAGAGCAGCCATGGCTACATAGAGAAACCCTGTCTCAAAAACAAAAACAAACAAACAAACAAACAAAGGAATATTCAGGGCTGGGCTGGAGAGATGGCTCAGTGGTTTTGAACCCTGGCTGTTCTTCCAGTGGACCTGAGTTCAATTCCCAACACCCACATGGCAGCTCACAAATGTCTGTAACTCAGGGCTTCTGATGCCCTCACACAGACATACACGTAAGCAAAACACCAATGCACATAAAACAAAAATAAATGAGTCATTAAAAATTTTTAAAGATTACGCAGGGCGTATTTCTAGCCTCTCCTGTCATTCTTGTGGCAGTTCCGCTTGAATTACAAATATCTGCGTGTCTCTCCTAATAACATTCACAGGATCGCTTCTTTGACAACTCTGGGTCCCCTGTGGCTCCTTAAACATACTAAATGACCAATAAGTTGACACAGAAAATGCTCTTCACGAGCCTGTGATAAATTCGTTCTCCTTCTTCAATAGCAGGGGGAGCCCCGCCCTGCCTCCTCCCTCACCCACCCACCCCGGTAGGAGGAAAACACAGGCAGACATATCAGGTCAGGCCCTTTATTTGGAACAACGGAGGACCCTCTTGCTTTGATGAAAAAAAAAACACCCTCAAGACCCTCGCTGTCCCTAAGCAAGGGTCTGCGGTCCAGCGCTCCAGCCACACACCCATCGAGAAAAGTCCTCAAGAGTCCAGCAGTGTCGCTACAGGGTACCAGGCTCGGAGATGGATCATCTTCACGGTGATAGAAAGAGCCAGCCTGAGGTAGCCTTCGGGAAGAGGAGTTCCAGAACACAGGGCAGAGCGGCGGGGTCAGGCGGGAGCGGCGGGGTCAGGCCCTCACACCTTCCTGCAGCGCCACTGTTCCAGCTCTTGAGAGCACATGGGCTTGTGGGCCGGCCTGGTGGAGGAGAGACACACAATCCGCGCCGGCTGGCTGGGACTCTCTTTGTCACCTACTATGCCCAATAAGGGGTTCCACTCTGACTTTTCCATACATGTACCTCATTGTACTTTGCTCACTTGTCAAACGCTAGCACGAGTGTGGAAGATTGCAGAGAAGAAACACAGACATACTGAGATAGATGGCAAGAAATTCTAAATAGACTTGGCCTTGCTAAAATAATAGTGATAAATATAATAATAATAATAATAATAATAATAATAATAAATAATAATAATAATAATAAATAATAATAATATGGCCAGGCCATGGCGGTGCATGACTTTAATCCCAGGAGGCAGAGGTAGGTGGATCTGTAGCTTGAGGACTACAGAGAGAGTTCTAGGACAGCCAAGGCTACAAAAAAAAAAAAAAAAAAAAAAAAAAAAAAAAAAA